GCCATATTCCAAAGTAAGTAGGATCAAGAACGTGAGTGGAGCTGTAACACGATCAGGGCTGCATCAGGTCTTCAAGACTGAAGGACATCTCAGGCCATTTTCACTGCCATCTCACTGTCAGGGAAATGCATGAGATCCGAGACATCGGGGAGTGAGGGCAAGCAGAGGACACCTTCTCAGATGAATTGGGAGAGAGAGAGCTGCAAAAAGAAATTGGAGCCCTCAAATTTCACCCTGAGCAAATACACAGGGAGACCCAGACCTGACTGCTTGAGCCATGGGACTCCTCAAAATGAAGCAGCTTGTTTAAGGCTCCTCTGCTTCTCGGGATGGGGTGTAGCTGCAGTGAGGCTGGGACGTGACTTCCTCAGGCTGGGCAACAGCTGGTGGGTGGGGATGCCGCAGTGTCTAGTGGCGAAGGAATGCAATCCTCTCTCCATAAATCTGGCTCTTCAGCAGTCCTGGCGACTTGCTGTGCAAAACTAGAGCTTGGTCCTCTTAGATGCATTATTATCCTCTAGCAGCTTGCTGAGGGGCAGGGCTCCTACCCGCAAATTGCTTGGAAGGTACCAAAATAGCACCATGAGCATGGGAACAGAGCGGCACATCCACTTCATATTTAAGAGGTATTCCCTAGAAAAGAACTAATCCTGTGTGTCCCAAATGAAATCAGTTCAGTCCCCCTCCATTGCATTGATGTTAATGCAGAGAATCTCAAGCAGTGAAACTGTGTGAGCTGGAAGCCATGAATAAAATATTACTGGAGATACTCTCTTGTGAAAATAAACTTGTTTTGACTTTTTTAAAACAGTGTATTTTTTACTGCCTTGAAGTGAGCTTGGCTGGTGAATTGGGATCTCTAGAGGGGTGGCCAGCGTTCCTGACTATGTGTCACTGACCAAATTCTCCATTTGACCAGAATCCTGAGCATGAAAGGGGAGCCACAGCCAGGACATGATGAGGATGTGGGGCAGATTGGGTTGGCTGAGCAGCTGAGACCATCCCTTTTGGCTGTCAGTAGGTGCTTTCCTGGGCCAACCCAAATCCTATTGTGAAGCCCTAACCTACTTCCTCACCCTCAGTCAGCTCAAGGGCTGCAGGTTGGGCTTCTCTCTGCCTTGGATAGTCCTCACTATAAGTATGTTTATAACTCTGATACCAGCAACAGGAGAACACAAGGACTTCCATGCTCCACTAACCCATCATCTTGTCTCCAATAAATCACAACTAGGGCTCAGAAACCTGCCAAGACAATATTTACTTTCCATAATACCTCCTGGTATATGGGAAAGGGCAGCCTCTGCCCAGGAGGAGAGTTAGCAGGCTGTCCGAGCTTCTAACTATGGATATTTGGGACACCCAGCTAACTCGCTGGCCAGGATGCCCAGGCACGTCTTAGCAGGGCAGCCGCAACGTGGCAGCAATACCATCACTGGCTGCAATGGCAAGGGGGGCAGGCACCTTCTTTTAGCAAAAAGCAGCCAGGAAACAAGAAGAAGAAAGGTGGGTCCCCAGTGGCACCCCCAGGGACATTGTGGGGTGAGAGTGCTTTCAGCCCAATTACTCAGAGGGAATATTTGGCAGCGAGGTGGACCTACCAGCATCACAGCCCCAGTTGCCAGTCCCCCAGGATGGTGTACATCCTTGCCCCAACCCACCATGTTCAGGGGAGCTTCAGGAACATGAAGCTAAGTGACCCCTCACTCAACCTGCAGCAGGCACATCCCTCTCCCTGCTAGGAAAGATGACCCTGGGTTGTGAGAGGGAACTAAGCAGGTGGGGTTGATGCAACAGCCAAGCCTCATAAACACAACAAAACTCCATGCTTTTAATCCAACTGACTACAGCTGATGGTTAAATGCCTCCTCCTCCTCCCACCACACACAGCTATGGGGCTGCCAGGACTCAGCAATTTCTTTGCCAGGGTCTTGGCTCCTTTGCCCCCTAGGAGTTGCCTGCTGCGTCACCTCGATGCCAGAGCATCCTTCATGCTAACCCCAGAAATGGAATGGAAATGTTGCAAAAATCTCCCTTGATTGTTTTGTGTCCTCCCCTGTGCACCACACCATGCCCTGCCCTTGCCATGTGGTCACCTTCTCTCCTTCCTTAATCCCCCTAATTTAGGATTAAACCAAACCAACCCAAATGCCCATGCTGGCAGGGCTCAGCCACACTGGCCTGGGTGCAGGGGGAAGAGGAAAGGGGATTTGCTTTCTGGTTTTGAATTTTCGTTACAAGGAACTCTATAAATAGGTCCTTGCACAACTGCGTGTCTCCAGAAGTCAAAACCTTAAGGAAAACTAAAGTCAACAGTTTTTACAGGGGTCACTAGCCCCCAAACCACGATAAAATATTTAAATCCTAGAATTATTTTGATGGGCTTCTGCTAATGCTGTTAATCAGCAGCACTGTTGCTCCCAGCTCCATGATGGCTCTCAGCAGGGTGAAGGATCCAGCATTGCAAAAAATCAGGTGTTAACCAAATGCTCTGATTTTGCTGGGAGGAGAAATGCTTTTCTGCTCTTTTTATTGTTTATAGGGAATTAATGCTACATTCTCCTTCACCCAGATGCAAAAACAGTCGCGGTCCTGAAATGCTCTCCCAGCTCCATCGCTGCCTGAACCCTCACCCCTTACAACAGCCTAACACCAGCCGCTCTGGCTCTATTTCAATCATCTGTCCCTAACCCAAGGCTGGCTTTTTTTCCCCGAAAAAAACTCGGCAGCAGGAGCTCAGCCTGCAACGAGAGCATACAGCAGCCACAGCACCTGGGCGGGAGGTTATTTTTAATCTGATTCTTAACTACATCTGATGCTTGTGATTAAATAAAGCACTGAACTCTCTGTAGGGTTCTGCGTAGCGAGTTCAGAGCTGCCCAGTTCTCTGCAGTGTCTCTCCCACTGCCATCTGCCGGTCACCATTTAGCAGGGCTAGCGGGGACCGTGACCTAAAAAAACCCCACAGGCAGCTGGTTTCCTGTAAGAGAGCTGGTCCTGCTGGGCTCCTGCTGCAGGATTTCAGGGAGAAGGGAAACGCAGAGCAGCCTCGCCAAGCAAAGCAGGGGCAGAAGGATGGGGAAAAAGGAAGAAGCAAAGGTCTGATCCCAGCATTGCTCCTGTGCTGTGAGTTTATGCCTCGTGAGGCCCTTTCCCCACATGCTGCTCGCAGCTGGGTGATGTTCTGCAGTGAAAATGCTGCAGAAACATGGGATCTGGGGACACGGTCTTGTATTTAACTTCTTTGCTGCAAAGATGAAAAAGTGTGTGTTTGGGGGGTGGGAGAGGCTGGCTGCTGAGCCTCTCAAAAGAGGGAACCAGAAGCACTCCAGCCTCAGTTTTGATGTCTTTTTTTGCTCCAGGCTCTCTTCCTCTTGCTTTCCTTGCCCAAAAATTCCTGGTGGGGACACATTTTGCTTTGCACTCAGCTGGGTGCTTGGGGAACATTCCCTACGTCATCCTCAATCTCCTCCTTCTGCAGCTTTTACACAGGCTTAAAAATATTAAGTTGCAACCTTGCAAAAACCAGCACCCAGATGCTTTCGGAAAGCCAATAAAAACCTTCAGCACCCCCAGGAGCCACATTGTCTTTTAGCAATTCTACCTAAGCACACAATCAAGAGCATTTTACAGATATAATAAGCAGGCCCCTGGCCTCCAGATCCCCCGGCAAGACACTGCACGCCCCACAACAGACTTTCACAACAGGATTTATTCAGTGCGTGCTCTGGGGATGCACAGGACACAGCATTATGGGTGGAGGACACAAATATTGGCCTTCAGGTCATTCTCCACTTCATCTGTTTAAGAAATCAAAGGATGCAACAACCAGAGAAGGGACTGTATCTCCTAGTCCCTTCCACCGGTCTGCAAAGCTTGTCACATATTTAAAACACCTTACTGGGAATCCTCGGGTGAAGGGAGCAGAGACATGGGGGAATAAAACACACAGTGTCCTAGACAGCGAAAGTGGTCCTGCAACAAGTCCTGGAACCACCAATAACCTCTAACATAATTTGTTTGGCTCTCTTGAGCTCAAATGGTACCAGCACACGTGATGACTTGTTTCTCCACGACCAGGTTCCACCACACGCAAAATATATGTCAACTGGGATCTGTATCTAAATTCAAATACACTTAAGTTATGCAAAGAAGGAAGCCATGCAGAAGAAAGCTGTATGAAGGAGCTGGTAACTCCTCTTCAGCGCTGAAGGTTTTTCTTCTGTGCATGCACCTGTGTGCATGCACACGCGTAAAATAAAGTCATGGCAATGGACTAACTGTGGAATGGGTACATGCAACAGAGAGCAGAAGAGAGGGAGGCAAGGGTTGCAGAGTTGTGAGGAGGAGAAAAGAGTACATCTGGGTAGTACTGGCCATAGCTATACCAGAAACAGGAAGGAAATAGAAATCCTCTCCTGTGGACAAAAAAAAAAAAAAAAAAAGCCACTCTTTTCAGACAAGAAGGGAAGAGATGACGCTTCTTCAAAATAGAGACAAAAAGACACATTAGGAGGGGAAAAGAGCATTTTTGTTGGAAACTCATCCTGACAAACACCAAACCCAACCACCATGTCTCATCTACAGACAAACACCAAAACCAACGACCATGTCTCATTGCCACTTGGGTTTCCAAGTCATTCTGCTTTCCCTGGGGACATGGTGCGGCGGGGCCTGCCAGCCACACAGGTGCGTGGGAGAGCTCATCACTTCCAGTTTGGAAATGGAACAGAAGCCCAGGCTGGCTGGGAAGAAAGGAGAAGGGTCCAAGGTCACCAGCATTATGGCAGACACCCTCCTGCCCTTGGGTCTCTCAGGAAGGGGACCAAGTTCCCATGGGACTGCCAGCTGCCCCTGGCTCGTCGGGGCTGGAGCAGATAAGGCAGCATAAGAAGAGAGTGTGTCAACCTGAATTGTCCATGGTGTCTCCCAAGCCTACCAGGGTTGTGGAACAACCAATGCTGAAGAAAGCCTTGGTGACTGGTGCAGGGACAGCTGAGAAAGACCATTCAAAGCAGAAGGCCCACCAGGATGACACTGGGTAGGAGGAAGAGTGAAAGCCCCAGGCAGGTACTGGGGGCTCCAGCTGTGGGCTGATCCATGCTTGTCTGGTCTGAGTTTGTCTCCGGTTCTTCAGTGTCCGGGGAACCTGCTGGCAGAAGAGAAGAAAACCTGGAGTTACTGCGGAAGATCTGGACAAAAGAGAAACTCCCACTCATGCAGATCCAAGACACCACAAGGTGCGAGGCAGCGGTGCACCGATCCAGCGAAGGCATGACACAGCTGGTGAGTTAGTGGGGAGCAGGCTGTAAACAAAACCATGCTTCACGAACGAGACATCCAACCAGCCCCTTTCAGTGTTAGAGGAAAGAGTGAGGAAAAGGGTTGGTGCCACATATGAGAGGAGGATCCAGAGGACCAGTCTGATACTGGTTCCTCCCAAGCGCTCTCCATGCTGCTTGGGGATCACTGAACATCTGTGTGTCCATGCCAGGACAGACTCCACAATTACCTTACCTGAGAGGGAGGTCTGGAAAGCAGGGCTCTGCCCTTTTTTTTCTTTGGAAGATGATGTTAAGCGCAAGAAGGTAGGCTCTTCAGGGCTGAAAACCACTGACTTTGAGGGGGTTATGAGCTCAGCTTTATTGAAACCTAACTTGATCTCTGGAACAATTTGGCTGAGGGATGGAAGTGGACTGGAAAAGGCTGATTTCTCTTTCCCGTCCTCTTTCACACCTTTCTTTGTTTCTGGGACTGATTTGGGGCTGAAGGTTGTGCCCATGCTTCCTAATAAGGCCGGATCCTCTGTAGTTAAGGGGCTAACAGGGTCTCCAGTGTCTACCTCTACTTCTGGAGATACTGTGTAATCCACATCTAACGTGGGCTCAAAGGAAAGAGTTAGCCCAGTTGCCTCAGTAGGATTGGGTCTTTCTGTTTCAGTGGGTTCTGGCTTTGTGGTTGTGGCAGTTTTCGGTTGTGTCTTTGCTGTTGTGGTAGGTGCTGGTGTTGTAGTGGCAAGTTTTGGCTTTGCTGATGTTGCAGCAGCAGGTGTTGGCTTGGCTGTAGCGGTGGTAGGTGTTGGTGTGGTGGGTGTTGGCTTGGCTGTAGCTGTGGCAGGTTTTGGCTTAGCCACAGTTGTGGTAGGTGTTGGTGTGGTGGGTGTTGGCTTGGCTGTAGTGGTGGTTGTGGTGGGTTTTGGCTTG